TGACAACGTTCTTGCAAGTAGGTGTAAGTGAAAGGATTTGGAAAATGTTGACTGAATATAGTGAAAATTAATTTTTTACACGTCTTGTGCTTGGTAATTTTTGTCCTTTTTTCAAATTTTGTCAAAAGTTTTTTTTGTGACCTTTCGAGAATACTATAAAAAATAGATTCCTGTGCACAATTTGAGGGTTTTGCCCTGTTGAAGTTCAAAACGTGTATGGTTCCTCGACGACTTGCAATAACAGGTCACGTGACCCTACTTCTTTTAAAGCGAGCAGTTTTCTGAAAACGAACTTTAGAAATGAAAGAGTAGCTCAACAGGAAGTTTCAGCTCATAGTGTTGACTATTCTCGACTTTCACATCCCCATTCCCGTCTTTGGGGGGTAACCAGAGGGTAAAAACCCACTTGTTTTGCTGAAGGCTGATCAGACAATGTTGAAAATACCTTGTTTGGTATCCGAAGATAAAATGAAGAAGTAAAAAACAGAAAAAGATAGAAGCTTGAAGACGTTTAATGTAAGATTTTAAACATTTTTTCGTAACTCAATACATTTTCTGTAAGACCAAAACTCTTCATGATCTTACTCGCAAAAACAACTTGGAATAAACTGATAATCAGTATTGTACAAATAAAAGCAGGTATAGTATAAATTCAATTAAGAAACATTTCCATTTGGGACAGTTTTTTGATTGGTTACCCCCCAAAAACGCAAGGCATTATGGGGATGTGAAAGTCGAAAATAGGAGAAATGGCATTAAATACAAAATGAAATATTTTATAAGGATTTGCATGGGCAAGCTTTGCCATCCAGCATATTTTCCCATACAAATCCTCATAAAATATTTGATTTTATATTTAATGCGATTTTTCCTGTTTCGCTTGTTATGAGCTAAAACTCTGCCACCCTCCTAATATCGAGGTGCTCTTTTCATTTCTGTTGCTCATTCTAACACAGTTGCTCGTTTTAAGGGAAGTATATAGGCGCATGTGACCTGTTTGTGGAAGTCGTCTTTTTGAAGTCATTCGCGATTTTGAACKGTTTTAGTGCGCGCGCACAATGTGGGCTCAAATAATGGCGTCATCGTCGTTGCGTAGGAGCGTGCGCAGTAGCGGATAACCGTATTCGTCAGCATACGTCACTACCACAGGAATACCAATCAACAAATTTATGTCTGCCGTGCTCCCTTGCTTAAGGTGGCTGCCTACTTTTGAACGTTCGATTTCAGCCCACGATCTGCGCGCGCTCAAAAACCGCTGAAAGATCTACAAGATTTTATTGAAGAACCATACGCGTTTTGAGCTTCATCAGGGCAAAACCCTCAAATTTTGCACGGGACTCTCTATTTTTTAATTAGCTCATTCGAAAAAACTCCTAAAAATCTAGGTTATATCAACATTTTAGGAAAAGTTTAAATCAGGAACACTTGAAAAAATAGATTTTTGTAGGGATTTTTGTTCGACTTTATGAGATTTTTAAGAGCACCGAAACTACAAAATATGACAAATCAATCTCTTTGTCTTTTTGTCGAAAATATCCATGTATTATTGTAGAAGGATTGACTAGCCTTCGTTCGTACAATCATATAGTCTGCAAATAACTATTATCTTATTAATCTTTTTTTTCTAATCACTTCCGGTGGCGCAATTCTTACTCCCAAAGCTCGTGCGTAGGCTTCCATTAAATGCTGATTATCTCGAAAACGAGCTCGGGACACCCTATTTTTCTTTCCAGATTTGGAATCAGCATTAAATTTCAATTCGGAAAATCGAAGTTTTAAGAAAAGCTTAAATCAATTTCCAAAAGTAGGCAGTCACCTTAAAGACCTTTCTCCAGTCTAAATTTCTCTAGTTTCTCTTAGAATGGAGAGAAGAGTGGCATTAATCCGCGTGATTGCAAAGGTCTTCTCATGAAAGCGAAGAATCTAGGACTGGATGTCGTTGGCGTAAGGTCAGAATCACAAACCCTATTGAAAAAATTCTCCCTAATAATTTGTGACCCAGTCGTTTTCTTACTAATGACATGGCGTCGTATAATGATTTTTTCAGTTTTCACGTAGGCTCCGATAGCCTCGATGCAAAGCCTTATGGAGAGGCCATTCAGACAGCTAAAGCGATATTTGAAACTGGGGTAAGTTTGAGTGTTGATCTCTGAGATAGATCGTGGCATTATTGTGAAACGATAAGGGTTCTTCTGGTCTTGTCCGTACTATAGACCAAATTCAAAACTCGCACCGAYGTGAGGCTTAAGTTGTGAACAAAGGGGTCTGGCGTGACTCAAAGTAATCTGGCGTGATTCAAAAGTCACGAATCACGCCAGATTCCTTTGTTCACAACTTAAGCCTCACATCGGTGCGAGTTTTGAATTTGGTCTATAAATACTCCAGTTTCGAATTCTGTGTTTACAGGGTTTACCTCGATTTTGTATAGAATTACTTTGAATTGTCATGCATTCCAGTGAAGGTCTGTGAAATTTCAAAGTTTTTGTATCGTTCAATTTGTCCTTATTCACTATGACGTCACTGCTTGTATATGTGGGGRATAGAATCRCCWAATCCAATAGAAAATTCAACCAAATTTGCTCCTAGCGAAACAGTTTAATCTAAAATGGCCTGGTTTTCAGATATAATATGTGTTAATATGTACTAAAAAATATTCTGAGCGTTTGCTGGCTATTCTACTTCTCTTCGTGGATTGATACGGGTTTTAGAACAATTTTCGGTGAATTTGCGTTGATTTAACCCCCTCCGACGACCATGATCCTTTGCGTTTAAACAATAGATTGTTGAAGATTGTTTTGATGTGACGTCATGGTCAATTAGGGCAATTGTGCATTCTTTACTTTACTGTTGATATTTGTGAACATTTAAACACTGAAATGAAGCTAACCCTGTATAAGGCCCCGTCCACACGTATCCGCAAATTTTTGTATCCGCAATTTTTTTTTTACGGATACAGGTTGCGTCCACACGTGTCCGCAAATTTTTGTGTCCGTATCCGCAAATTTTACGAAAACGGATACGTGTGGACGGTGAAAACGATTCGAATATGCTGCGTGTGGACGTAAACATTTTCGTATCCGCAAAAAATAATTTGCGGATACAAAAATTTCCGGATACGTGTGGACGGAGCCTAAATGAGTCTGTGATCAAGGAACACAGGGGTATTTGACTAATTTGAAAACGGTGTATTGTTTTGCTTTTCTTGCATAAGAATAAATCAGCCATATGTAACCATTTGTCGTAACTTTACTTTAAGGAAAAGGTTGGTTTTTCCTTCAGCATCCTGGACATTGGGGGAGGATTTCCGGGGAAAGAGGGCAAATGCTCTTTTGAAGAGGTAAACAATTCCCACACCCAAATTACCGCATATTATGCATCTTAGATATATCTGCAATAAAACAGTCATTTTTCCACTGTACCACGTGAAATCGCATACGCTGTTCCCTGACGATGAGATATCGATGCCACTACCACAGACACGAATTAAAAACGTCTGCGCATGCTCTGAATCCGTATGCGAATTAGTCAAAACATACTTGAGTTTCAAGCATGCCTGATAAATTGGACTTCACAAAATGTCAAAACTTAGTGTCCATGCTTKAAACTTAAGGCTAATTCCTTCATATTGTGTTTGTTAAGACAGTATCTTGGTCTGACAAAAGGATACTCTCGAACTTTTTTGTATACTTGGAGAAAAAAAAAACATTTATTTTCTCACTCAAACTCTTCAAAATTCTTAGAACACGTGCTGAAATGCACGAATGCGCAAACGTTTTTCTCTAGTGTCACTACCAGAATGTTTCGCCAATTTTCAATGACGACTAACCAGAGTCTTTCCTAGATATGCGATGTGGTTAATTCTGCCCTTGACAAATACTTTCCTGTGGGATGTGGGGTGAAGATTATTGCTGAACCTGGGAGGTATTTTGCTTGTTCGCTCTACACTCTTGTGGCGAACGTTACGACCGTCAAAGAGATCAAAAAGCAGGAAAGTCTTTTTGTGACATTCAAGGACGGAGGCCCAGAAACAGTAAGTCGTTAGAGCCTAGCCATCTCGCGCTGCTAAAAATTGGTGACATTGCATACGTGTGGAAAGGTGAGAGCTGTTGTGCGCGATATTTGTAAAGGTGCATAAGCGTAAAGGGGCACTCTGGATACCAGCTTTTAGCTGAATGGGCCACCCTAGGCCTGTTTAAATAAAGCTTCCATAACCATAACCATATATTGGTCCGTACAATGGTGCACGCAACAGCTCCTGAGATGGACACACGGTGCAAATGGTTTGGTCTGTACAAACGTTGCAAGCAACAGCTCCTGAGATGGACACACGGTGCAAATGGATTGGTCAATACAAACGTTGCTCGCACCAGTTCCTGTGGTGGACACACGGTGCAAATGGATTGGTCTGTACAAACGTTGCAAGCAACAGTTCCTGAGATGGACACACGGTGCGAATGGATTGGTCTGTACAAACGTTGCTCGCACCAGTTCCTGCGGTGGACACACGGTGCAAATGGATTGGTCTGTACAAACGTTGCAAGCAACAGT